TCCAGAACGGTTATCCCGGTGAAGAGTCCCAATGTAACTGAACGGTTATCCAATGTAACTGAGGGGGAGAGAGTTATTAAGAAAGGTGAAGTGGTTGCAGCATGTACTCCAGTAACCAGCGTTGAAAAGAAAGAAGTAACATCCCAAAATCCGTGTCCTCAGAGAGCATTACATCTGGAGTTATTGCAAGAATGCGCAATTAAACGATGAAGAGAAAATGCTGCCGATCGCGTCATTAAAGATCTTCAAGTTGTTTTCTCCCGCTCGTCTTCTGACGTGGGTCGAACTAGTTTGACACAACATAGAATAGATACCGGCGATCATCCCCCGATCAAGCAAACATCCAAGGCGTCCTACCGTTTGCTAAACAGGAAGAGGTGCGAACACTGTTAAAAGATATGGAAGAAGGCGATGTCATCGAGCCTTCAGCAAGTCCATGGGCATCTCCCATCGTTCTCGTCAGAAAGAAAGACGGCTCAACAAGATTTTGCGTTGACTATCGTCGGTTGAATGAGGTTACGAAGAAAGACAGTTACCCTCTTCCTAGAATTGACGACATTCTAGACACACTTTCTGGAAGCAAGTTGTTCTCAACGCTTGATTTAAAGAGTGGGTATTGGCAGGTAGAAATACAAACCCTGATGACCGAGAAAAGACGACATTTACTACGGGACAAGGGCTTTGGCAATTCAAGGTGATGCCGTTTGGACTGTGTAATGCGCCGGCAACATTCGAACGCCTCATGGAGACTGTTTTGAAAGGACTTTCCTATGAAGCCTGTCTGATATACCTGGACGATATCATCATCGTCGGAAAGAGTTTTGAAGAGCATCTAGAAAATCTTAGAAAGGTGCTTCAGAAACTGAAAGAAGCCAATCTAAAGCTGAGTCCCCGCTAAATGCAAATTGTTCCGAAAGGAAGTGACTTACCTGGGACATGTCATCTCTGCAGAAGGTGGTGCGCACGGATCCTGAAAAGGTATCAGCGGTTAAATCCTGGAAACGTCCCGAAAATGACCATCAGCTGAGAAGCTTCCTAGGGCTTTGCACCTACTATAGGAGATTCGTGAAGGACTTTTCTTCCATCACAAGACCTATTCACAAGCTGACAGAGAGCAACTAAAAGTTCTTGTGGACAAAAGAATGCGACGATGCATTTAACAACTTAAAGGAAGCTTTAACATCTGCTCCAATCCTGACGTATCCTCAGCACGACCGACCATTTATTCTCGACATCGACGCAAGCAATGAAAGTGTCGGTGCTGTTTTGTCCCAAGAAATAGATGGCCAAGAACGTGTAGTAGGCGTACTGGAGCAAGTGCCTGTCTAAACCGGAGAGGAATTATTGTGTCACCAGGAAAGAGTTGCTCGCCATAGTCAAAGCTGTAGAACATTTCCATCACTATCTATACGGCAGAAAAATTCCTGCCTCCGCACCGGATCATGCATCATTGACCTGGCTTTTTAAATTTCAAGAATCCTGAGGGTCAAATAGCCAGGTGGATACAGAGACTCCAAGAATATGACATCACTATCCGTCATCGTGAGGGATCATCACACGGAAACGCCGACGCCCTGTCTAGAAGACCTTGCCAAGAAAACTGTCGATATTGTTCCAGGGTGGAAGCGAAATACGAGCTGCTGACTCCGGTCGCAAGACAAATTACAACATCAACATCGGCTGATCGAGAACCGTGGAGTGATGATGAAGTCAGGAAAGACCAGCCCGAAGACCGCGACATTAAACCCATAATTGATCTAATGGAGTCGTCAAACAGAAAACCTACCTGGCAGGACATTTCTATCTGTAGTCCTACAACCAAACAATATTGGGCACTCTGGGATTCACTTCACATTCGAAACGGCGTCTTATACCGGAAATTCGAATCGGATGATGGGAAGACGTTCCGATGGCAGCTGATACTTCCAAGATCCTGCATTCCGGATCTCCTTAAAGAACTACATAACAGCCCTACGGGAGGTCACTGGAATAATGAAGACCTTACAGAGAGTTCGTGAGCGCTTTTACTGGAATAATGCAAAGAATGACGTGCAAAAGTGGTGCCGATCTTGCGATGCCTGTGCAGGTCGGAAAGGACCTAAGAGACGCAGCCGAGGCAAGCTGCAACGTTACAACGTAGGGGCGCCTTTTGAACGAATCGCCTTTGACATCCTGGGACCTCTGCCACGAACTGCTGATGGCAACAAATACATACTCGTTGTCGTTGATTACTTCACCAAGTGGCCTGAAGCTTATCCTATTCCTGATCAAGAAGCTGTCACAGTAGCTGAGGTAATGATACAGCACTGGATTTCCAGGTTCGGAGTGCCTCTTCAGTTACATTCCGATCAGGGAAGGAATTTTACCTCGTCGGTAAATCAAAGAACTATGCAAACTACTACTCGGCATTGACAAGACCCAAACGACGCCATTACATCCCCAGTCGGACGGCATGGTAGAGAGGTTCAATCGAACCATCCTTAATAACCTCTCATTAGTGGTTTCCAGAAACCAGCAGGACTGGGGCAAGAAATTATCGCTGTTTTTACTGGCTTACCGCAGTGCTGTCCACGAGACTACCCGGCTATTCTCCATCACCAGATGCTCATCGGTCGTGACCTTCGTCTTGCCTTGTGATCTCTTATTTGGTTGGCCGCCCTCCAGGATGCGCCTTCATCGCCTGATGGAATATGCATTCCAAGATCCTCCAGGCCCGGTTTGAAGTGATGCACAAACTTTTGCACGAGAGCGAAGTCAACTCTTAGCGACGGAGAAGATGAAGACCCGCTACGACACCAAGAGCTACTGGACATCAATTCCACGAAGGAGACAAGATGTGTTGTGGAATCCGACTCGACGGAAAGGACTTTGTCCGAAATTACAGTCACCTTGGGATGGTCCGTACACAGTCCTAAACAGGCTGAATGACGTCGTGGTTCGGATTCCGTAAGTCTTCGGAACTCTAAACCTAAAGTCGTTTCATTACGACAGGTTAGCTCATTACTACCACCTGGCCACAGTATGTAGTGTAAATAATTTATGTATAATATGTATGTAGTGTAAAGTATAGTAGTGTAAGTAATTCCACAGTATGTAGTGTAAATAATTTTAAATAGTATAAGACCATGGTCCTTTTGTTGTTTAAATGTGTATTTGATGTATTTTGTATTTAGTATTTGATTTGCATTGATTTTGATTTGTATTTAGTATTTGTTTTGTATTTAGTATTGATAGCATTTGATTTGTTTAAGTTAGTTATTGCATTTATTGTTCATGTTGTTTGATATTGTAATGTAATGTTTATGCCACAGTTGTAAGTTTAGCTTCCTGTCCAGGGATTGTACTGCCCGGGACGTGCAGTCCTTGGGAAGGGGGCAGTGTTACGAATTTGGTATTTAAAAAGCTAATGTTAGTTTAATTATAAATTAAATGGTTTTATTTCTCGCGCAGTGCAGCGCATGACGAATATTAAAAGAAAGCTAAGCCGGAAAATTGAAAATACAAGAGCGTGTGCATTAAATAAATAAATATCTCTTTTTGATTTCGAGAAAGTACTGGAAAATTCTAGCGCGTGATTTTAAAATCTTATAAAAGGAGGAAAACATCTCAGTTTGTAGTAGTTGCTTAGTTTGTTGTTGTTTAGAAAACTGCTGTTGTTGATTATAGCGAATTCGCGGATTAGCGTTCTTTAGCTGTTTTGAATTACGTTCTATTGTACATTTGAGTAGTTAAAAGATAACTACTGTGAGATATTGTAATACTGCATGATAATTTGAGAAAATTTAAGCATTTTTGTTGTGATAATAAAAAGTTTTGTTCATTTTTCATCGGACTTGTGCATTCACTTCATAACGAATCCGTACGCACGCAACAATATATATATATATATGGCCTAAAATATCTTTATTTATGACTAGAATATTTCTCAATTATATATATATATATATATACAGTCTAACAATATTTTTAGCGTTGAGTCTTTAAACTACAGAATTTTTCCATTTTCTCCCACGAGGTTAAAAAAGTTACTTTCTCAAATACAACTTCAAATCTATCTCACTTCCATGAAATCCAGTTACATTTTTTAAGTCTGAAATTTTAAGTATTTAAAGAAATTTCACTTATCATAAAATATTGCTATTTTTATTTAATAAAAAGTTTATTTAGTATTTCAGCAAATAGATATTTTACAGGCAAAAGTACTTTTCATAGCAGTAGCTACAGGAAGTAAATGTGTTTAAAACTTTTATACGTATACATTACTTTTTTAAAAGCTAGTGTTTATTTGATGTAAAATGACGCAATTTGAGATACATAATATAGCATTTAAGTCTGAATTTTAAAGAGTTTCAATCGTGATCTTTTTTAATTACCTCTGGACTATCAGAGGCTTTAAAGAACAAAATGCCCAGATGGCCCTCCATATGAATGACCACAGCTGCCTGAAATGGCCGAGACTACGATCTTTTTTTCCTTCCATCCCCCTACAATATGCAGTAGCAGATGAAGTTTCCCCAAATACATTGTATCATTTTATTGCAGACAGCTCGTCCTAAAAGGATTTATTTGTGGTTTATTATTTTTAGGTTGCATATGAACTCTTCAAAATAGGTTTATAAAGAATGGGGTCAAGGGCTAATGGAGTCTTTGTTAGAAAGTAGAAGGCATGTCATTTGAAATCTTCACACCTATTCGTGTATTAATAAATGGGGAGAGGAGGAAATTGTTGTGAAACTCCAAAAGTATTTGGGATAATTAAAATTAAGATGCAAGTTAGCGAAGGCTTCGGTTTTCAAAGAGTTAAATAAAGATGGTTTCGACATTCAGCAATTTCATTCATGAAAAATCTTTTGATTATATGACAGCTGAGCAGAAAGATACATAAAAAGAACACAGATTCCAATGATACAGATAAAAGGTATATAAACAGAACACAGATTCCAATGCTTGTAAAGAATTAATTTAACATTTACCATGACATATTCAAAAATATATCTTACCATTCTTGGTGGATAAATTTTATACTTCCAGTACAGATGCATGGATGATAAAGAGGTTTCTCTGGAGTGGCTTCAGATCGACATACACGGCAAATATCTAATAAAAGAACAAAAATTTTATGCTTAGCTTATTACAGATATAACCAGCACAGTCTGTTCTATAATCGCGAAATTCTTAATGACGAGATATTTAATAACTCCTAAACTACAATATTCAGCTACATTATAAAAAATTACGGGAAGAGTTATGGAAGCATTTCAGGATATTACTTTAAACAAATACTTAAGAAATTAAGAATTTTCATCCTTATGGATTTTTACATATTGCAACATGTATCTATATATTAACCCCTTTGAGCGGCCAGAGTTTTCACTAAGAAAGCACAAATTTCCCAAAACTACTATGAGAACAAATTATTTTTTTTTATTTTAATGTAAAAACTCTCCTGGTATTACATACCTGGATTTGTGTACTTTTGATATATTGCCTTAATTTCTTGGACATAATTTAATAATCATGTATATATACGTTCTTACAGATATCACAAAAAATATTCTTAACCCTCTAAGCAGTAAGGCTGTATATGCCGCTTAGAGGGTTAAGAAACATTTCAAGCTTTCACAATACAAAATAGTAAACAGCTTTGAAATACATTTTTCATTAATTTTGTTTTAGTTTATATGCACAGAACTCATTTTTGAAAGCTACTTTTAAACAAATGCCTTTCAGTTCATTATAAACATTTTAAGGCTTTTGACAAATTAAATCTCTATTAAAATGAAGGATATCACAAACAATTTTTGTCATCTCAAAAGGGATTACAAGTTAAAAAGATCCGAAATCCCTGCAACAGCATTCACCCAGTACATTCAGATAAAAAATGTTTTACAATAGTCACTTACCATTTAAAATTTGCAATGCAATTTATTCCTTTAGTCAACAGCATTAAAAAGGGGATGTAATAATGAAATTAAAAATATACTTCAAATTGTTACAGCCTTATCTTAATAAACATAAAATTAAAACCAGTGACAAAAGTTCTGACAATATTTAATGCTACAACACAAAGCTATATTTAATACTCTACTTGAAAATTAGAAATAACTTGTTCAATTAACTCTGGAAAACTTCACTGCAATCATAATATATGTCAACGTAAGCCACAAGACAGACTAGCATAAACAGTAATTTACCGTTGAAGCTGTACCACTAGCGACTTGAAGCTAAATGCAGCTTTCACTTGTGTTGGAAAGAACAAGGTTTGTAAAATCATATATGGCATATGTTTCTGTTGTATAATTTGTTAACAAGATAGTTCAAATAAAATCAGGACTTTGCTACTATTTATACACAACGATTTGTGTCCTTGGGTGAGTACAGCCAGTAACCTCCACTTTATCTTCTGAGCAGATTAGAACTTACTCACTCATGTTTTACAATTGGGACAGTGATGACTAAACAACAGCTCCCTTGAAGTATGGAAGAATATATTGTGATAAAATTTCTCGTTTGCAAAACATTCAGTCATCTGAAATTTGAGATACTCCAAGCACAGTATGGAGATGAATATATATGTGTAGTGTATATATATATATATATATATATATATATATATATATAAGCGAGTTCCGCTGTATATATATATATATATATATATATATATATATATATACAGCGGAACTCGCTTATAACAAGTACGAAGGGACCATAATGTTTGCTCCTTATAATCCAGTGCTCGTAAAAAAAAGGTTCATGAAAAAAATCAGAAAAATTCATAGAAATTTGCTATACCATTATAAATACTTATTTTATTTTTTATTTTTTTCATTTTTGTACAGTATAAAAGAAGTTGGTTAATTTGCTTGAACTCCTTTATTGTCTCTTTCTTGTGTTGTTCTTCGGAGAAAATGCCCCAAAAACGTCATCATTCGTACCCCTGGCTTCGAAAAAAATTTGAAGTTTTTCTGTGCACTCAAAAGCAGTATCCTTTTAACTAAATGACCCATCACTAACATTCAGCTGATTTCAGAATGTTAAAGTTTTTTTAAGAAAAAATTAGCTTAGCTGTAGTGGTAGAAGTCAACAGAAATATTATGAATCGCAAAACCAGGATTTGTTCGCTAAAAGCAAGTTATGCTCCCATAGATTCAATATTGCACAAACCAAGTATTTCCGATTTCCTCATTAAATCCGGGTTCGTTATTAGTGAGTTATACTGTATATGTATGCTGTGTAAGAGCTTCATTGAGGGACAAAATCACATAACTCTGACAAACACCAATCATGCTAATATGATTATTCAAAAGAAGAGTTACACTGTGCAAAAAAAAAAGACAGTTCTGTATCTTCCGTTCTAGTGGGCCGATTGACAAAATTCAAATTGGTTTTTTTATGTCTGGAAAGCACGACTTAGGATATATATTAGATTTATATATAGCATTGTTATAACATAGGTATTTTGACACAAAATTGGACTTTTTCTGAAATAAGATACCAATTTTTTTTTTTTCATATTTGGATTCTATGACTCAAATTATGCCTAGATATTAAATTTTGTGAAATTTTGTGCGAAATTTATGGAGAAATTCAAAAATCTACCTTGGCACAATTATTTCAGTTTTCGCCAAGAATAATTTACTTGGCGAACTTCTTAATATGTGGCAACCAATTTTCCTTTCCCTTCCATTATGCTAGAGTGGGAAAAAGGCACCTCGTTCTTAACTTTTTGCATTGTGCATGAGCGGGGAAAAGTCTCGAAAGCACGACTTACATGATATACAGGGTTATCCAAATTAAACTTCCCCAACTCAGAGGCCTGTGCAGAGTGTTATATGGGTCATAATGTGATGAAATTTTAAAAACAGATACTTCAGATCATGCGCTCGAAATGTATTAAACAAAAAAAAAAAAAAAAAAAAAAAAAAAAAATTAGTACAAGAAGTTGCCGATAGCTGGCGCTGCAGATCAACAAGACATTCTACAAATGTTCTATATGTGTGCCGTGGTTCTTCACAACTCTTTCCATTTGCAAAGCAGTGTGTTCCAAAGCGGAACGCAGTAAGTCTAAATGAATTCCACGAACATGTCGAATAATTGCGTCTTTCAGATGTGCCAAGGTCGCTGGGTGTTCTCGGTAGACCCGATCCTTTATAAATCCCCATAACCAAAAGTCGCATGGCGTGAAATCAGGCGAGCGGGGAGGCCAAGCTGTAGGGAAACAGCGGCTGATCACACGTGCATCGGTAAAAGTTGCCCGTAACACCTGTTGAACGCCACGAAGTATATGGGGAGGTGCACCATCCTGCATAAATATTGTGTCCTGGAGGCGGCCACATTGTTGCAGTTCAGGGATCACAAACGTTGTCAACATGTCCTGATACCGTTTCCCTGTGACAAAGCAGGTTTTGAACCCTGTTGGAGTCACCTCTTCAAGAAAATAAGGCCCAATGACAAATGTTGCAGTGAAACCGCACCATACAGTAACCTTTGGAGGGTTCAAGGGCACTTGATAAATTACGTGAGGATTTTCACTTGCCCAAATGCAGCAGTTGTGCGTATTCACTTGACCATTCAGGTGAAAATGGGCCTCATCCATCCAAAGGATGTTCTACGGCCAACAGCATCAACTTCCATTCTGGCAAGGAACTGCAACGCAAATGTTTTCCGAACTACAGGATCCCCGTCGGACAGCTGATGACAACTATGGATTTTGTAAGGAAAATAACCGAGGATTCGACGCATCACACACGCCAGACGGTCGTATAGGGCATATCAACAGCACGAGAAACAGTTGGCACACTGACAACACCATGTGGCGATTGGTTAGTGGAATCCACGAACGCCAAAGCGACGTCTTCTACGCGTGCAGATTCCACAACCTGTCGTCCTCTACCTGGTAAAATTCCCAGCTGTCCCATTCTTTCGAACTTCTTCATCATGTCTCGTACAGCACGTGGTGTCATTGGTCCTCGCCATAAGAGCTTCAGCCAATGGAATGCTCTTATCGCAGCACAGGAGTTCTCTTCATTCTGGTAGAAAAGTTTCACTAACAGAGCTTTGTCTTTCAAATTTGCCATTGTGCATCAGCGAGCTGGAAACAACTGCCTGTGCAAGGCCTGTCTTCCATTTTTGTAGGGCTCATCTTTTGGATACGTTGCGCAGAAGCTTTATTTCTGCAAATCACGCTGCTGCAATATGCACATTACTAGTGTTACAGCACCACCTATCGGAAACTTCTTGTACTAATTTTTTTGTGTAATAAATCTTGAGCGCATGATCTGAAGTGTCTGTTTTTAAAATTTTATCACATTATGACCCATACAACACTCTGCACAGGCCTCTGAGTTGGGGAAGTTTAATTTGGATAACCCTGTATATTAGATTTATATATAGCACTATTTTAACATAGGTATTTTGACACAAAAATCAGACTTTTTCTAAAATAATATACCAATTTTTTTATGTATTTTGATTCTACAACTCATTGCCTAAATATTAAATTTTGTAAAATTTGGTGCGAAATTTATGGAGAAACTTAAAAATTTATTTTGTCCTTTTTTTTCAGTTTGCGCCAAGAATAAGTCACTTGGCGGGATTCTTAATTTATAGTCATCTACTTACTTTCATTTTTTTCATTGATGCATGAGAGAATAAAAGGTCCATTGTTCATTCTTTCAAGTAATTTTAACAAAGTGTGTAAATTACATTTTCATTATTATCGCTTGTATTAAATACGGCAAATTTCAAAACACTCCAAAAAGTAAATTCACGTATAACTTAGGAAATTTAGAATAGAAACTCTAATTTTTTTCAGATATGCTTAGAAATATATTTATTTTAAGATGATGTTAAAAAATTTATAGGTTATAATACAAAAATGTTTTTGAAAAATTTATAAATATATATAAAAATACAAATTTTAAAAATAAATCATAAAAAATATGCAAATTACATTCGTATCAAGATTAAATTTTGAATTTTGGAAGAAGGAATTGAGTAAGTTTAATAAAAAAGAGGGTACTTTTCCGTTTTGCCGGCGAAAGCGATAAGTCGCTAATAACGGTACAACTGATGCGAATGAAATATCCTTGCTGGTAACATTTTACATTTTTAAGAAGTCGCAGCCATTTCTTATCAGATTGGTTGTTTCTTTCAATAATGGCATACAATTACATAGAATTTTTACTAGATAGTTCAATTTTATGCCATAAGGCCATTCGTGGACGGTAATTAAATCAATTAGGATGCAATCACAACGCTCACCCGATGGCGAAAATATAGAAAAGGCAAAGTCAAGAGTTAAATTCATCAATTATAACGAAAATGCACTAGCGAAATAATTTCTGAGTAAGCTATTCGTACAAATTAAAATAATTCTTGCATTTAAACTTGTATCCCAAATTAAGATTTAACTTGAAATTAATGTAGATAATTATTTTTGTAGCATAGTTTACGTGAGATGAGATCACTTGGGGTCACATGATGTGCCTCTTCCTTGTTGTCTTAACGTTAAAACAGATGGATGCTACAATATTCTAGAAACTAATGAAAAGACATTCACAAAAAGAAAAAAATAGCACAGGATGCAATCTATGGGTTTTTATCTGAGAATTCTGTAACAAAATTAGAGAATGTTACTTATTAAGGTTCTTGATTGGTCCTTTTCATCTAGTATCAAATGCAAAATATAGGGAAGTAATATACTAAAATATGGTAATATGATGTTGTAAATATGTGGAATAGCTTTAATGAAGAAGTTACTATATAAGCAGTGAAAACTAGCTAAGATAAGCATGGAACAGAGCCAAGTACTATTTTACCAGTAATACTGTTTATTCACATACACTTCTTCAAAGGACTCATTTACATTATATTACTTGACAACAGAATAGGAGTTTTCAAGCAGCAAAATTTTGTTATCATAATAATAAAAAAATGGATGAAATGGTAGTTTATAAGAAAATTCTTTTGGTGACAAGAAAAGAGAAACATTTATTCCCAGCTACAATCAAAAATGCAACTTTTTACCATATGTTACAGAAATTATGGCTCTTATTTACAATGTTTATATTACTTGAAAAAAATCAAGACCATAGAAATTTTGATCTAATTTCTCCAAGCTGATCCTTTAAAAAACGTCTAGATATATTTTACTTCTTGCAATTTTTTTTAATCTATTACCCAAATTTGCATAAATCTATTAGTTCCATCAATACAAAGATTCGCTCAGTACAAAAGAAAAATTTTAAATGAACAGGAAGATCATTATTTTAGTTAATGTAGGAGATATAAAAATCATATGAATTAAGGATTGAAAATAAAGGGTCACATGAAATAAAAGGTACAACAAAAAATAGCAACTGATTTATATATTTACTGGTTGTGTTTCAAATCTGAAAGTAAAAGGAAACACGAAGAGAACCTTCGTAACGAAACTTACAGGAAAGCATACTTTGAGATGAAAAAGGAACACAGAAAACTTTGAAAAGCAAACTTTGTTATTTGCAATAATAAATGCTGCAATAAAACTGCTAAATTTCTGAAATAAACACTTAAAACTTACACATTTTAAAACTAATTAAAAATTCCTCTCAAATGTATGCACTCGCGAATTTTTACACTACACTCACTATATTGCACAAAATTTACAGCTGTTAATTACCTTCACATTTTCATTACCTAGTTACGAAATAGATTCGTTTACTTTAAGCAATTGAATCTGAACCAAATTAACACTGCGCAAAAAATTAAAAAATATCTTAATACAGTAAAAGAGAAGATGATAAAATATGTCATCTATATTAGCTTAACAGAATCTGACAAATTATTCGCTTAAAGTTCTAGAAGAATTCAAAAGAAAGAAAAATACTAGAAAGTCAAAATTGTATTTGTAATTATAACATGATATATTTGCTTTAAAACTCGTAAATAAAAATATAAAACAGATGGTAATATGAAAACAACTTTCAAAATATTGGAAACGCAGTACGTAAATAATGTTTATTCAACAACTGAACGTTAAGTAGAGCTTCCGAATTTATTATACATCAAATACTAAAGGAATTTTAGGTATTAAAATAATTATAATATTAAATAGTATACAATTAATGATGATAAAACAATAAACCGTATAAATACCTTGCATTTGACTCTCATCCATCTTTAACATTTTACACCATCACAATGGCAGTTGCCAAACCAAACGCAAAACAAATATCCTGGATATTGTACCGAAATAGTCGCCCTCTAACGGCAAAAAATAGAATTTAAAATAGCTCTGATAGGCATAAGTCAACTGTTGAACTAGAAGTTACAATATGTCAGTAAGAAATATTAAACAATAAGAAATTGTTCTAAAAAACATTTTGTGGATTCAGCATAACGATGAGACAATTAATAATTTTGTGTGTTTCAGTGTCCTTAGAATAAGACAAAAACTTTAAAGACTGACCGGGTACTTTATTTCAAAGGTCAATATTTTAATAACTTTAAAGAAATTCAGAAATCCACAATTACGATCTTCAATGTTATTCTTAAAGATGAGATCTACGAAGGAATCAAGCAGCTGTATTAACAACAAAAGTGTTTTATAGGCCTAAAAGTAAGGCCGGTTTAGTAGTGCTGCAGCACCCGTAATCGCGGGAAACCCAAGTAAAGGCCTCACTCAATTGAAACATTTAGTGATCGCTAGTTATGATACGTCATCAATTGCGTTTGATTTTGCTGTTTTAGGTATTCGTTTGAAACACAACGATCACTCTGAACTCGCGATCGATCGTTCTCGTAGCGATCACTCCGATCCCATCTGTTTGAGTAATACCAGCTACAACTCAACTCTGTTTATGTTTAGAAAATAAGCTCTATCGTTTTTGTAAATATACTGCTTCTAAATTTTGTATAAATATCTGCAAATAAAGTGTTTTTTCATATTAAATCCATAGTTACCTTCGAATCCTTGGCTCTAGTGTAGAATTGAGTGCCCCTTCGATTAGCGACAATTTTTTGTAAAATTTTGGCGATGAAATCTTATTTCTGGTTATCATGATAATGTAACTTCGCTTTTAGCCTCCTGATTTTTTTTTTTTTTTTATATATAAATAGATTGATCTGTACATGGACAAATTTAAACAGTGCGCAATGCCTAGTTTGTGCAATTCTGGGATGTTTTTTTAAGTGAAAACAGATCGGTGTGTACATGGACACAGAGTTTATGCAATTCTTTGACTTTTTATTTTGGTTTTGTATAGCCGCCATCTTTAAAATGTGTCTTCCAGGCGCTGATCTTGGCGTCAAGAAAGAATCACCAAAAAACAAGGGGCACCCAATTGTAAACTTTTACCGAATCCTTTAAAATTCTGGCATCCGTGCAACAGAACTATGCATAATTTAAAACGAGAAAGAACACAATTACAGCGATCGTTGATCCAACTACAGCGATATTTTACAACTTCTTTGAAGGAAGTGGAAACTGTTCTAAAAGATAAAGCAGTAAGTGAGATTGATTTGATATTTAATATTTTCAATAACAAAGCTCACAGAATATAAGTGACGTGGCTAGAAATGGAAAACTTTCATGAAGATGAATTTTCGAAAGATATGGATTTAACAGAAAGCCATCGAAATCAGTGAGTTGCTGTGAAAACAAAAGTTAATTTAATGTTATCAACATTGAAGGAAAGGGCGATATTTCCAGTGTAATTTATAGACAGTGAGTATGAACATTGTGAGCTACAACATTCAGGACTTCGAACTCTGATTCCCAGTTTAGGAGCAGATTACTGGATTATTTCAATTATAAATTAGCGAAACAAGTTAGCTCTAGTTGTATCTATAGAACCACCTTTTGCACCTCTTCGTAGAGATAGAATAGAATAAAGGCTGCTGCAGTTTTCGAAGTTTCAGCGATTGATCTCACAGGCCCTTTGTATTTACGTTCTAGTGAAAATACATGGGTTGTACTTTTTACCTGTGCCATTTATAGGTCTGTTCATCGTGAATTAGTCAATTCCCTGTCTACAGAAACTTTTATTATGGTTTTAAGAAGATTCTTTGTTCGAAGAGGCAGAGTAACTAACACTGACAACAGTACAAACTTCATTGGTTCAAATAAATGCTCTAAGAAATTTAGGTACTATTTCGTTTTGAGCACCGTAAAAAATCGCCAAACTATTGTTGATGCCAATGCTGCCAAAAATAATTGTGGTAACCCTAACGCAAGAAAGGTACTATAATAGAAAATAACTATCTAAGATTATTGTTTTAGTTAAATGAAAGATTAATTTAATATAATACTTTTTCGTGAATCTTCGGATTATGGTAACTTGGCGAAAATTTGGCGACCAGCCCTGCTACAGCAACCTGCGAGTTTTTTTTTTTTTTTTTTTTTACTGAACATTTTTTCCAAAAATCTGCTAGCCGAATTACGCTTATGCTAGAACTTTTATGGAACAAAACTGCTTAATTATGACGAAAATTAGGTGCGAAATTGTTTCTAAGTGCTTATTAGCTAAAATCACGATCGGAATTTTCCGGAAAGTAGTGGAACAAACGTGCACAGAAATTTGTTTTTACAAAGCAAATTTATATATGAAACATGTAAATAGTTTTTCTCCTAAACTAGAAAAATTTGCACGGAAATGCAGGAAAATTTTATGAATCTTTTAAGTCGGTAAAAGGGACATATATGAAATTACCTGATCGTTAAAAAGTATGTATATTATGCAAGATTTTATATGTTCAGCTTGAATATAATCTGTGATTGGAACTATGTACTTCTCAGCTTATTGCTAAAGTCCTAGCTAGTAACCTTTATCGCCTTACCAAAATGTCGCCAAACTACCTGTTGCCATATTCCAAAGATTAGCCTACTTGGTGATATTATTGTTATAATTTATATATTTTAAGAAAAGTTCAATGTATATTATAAAGGCATTTTTATCTATTTACGGTTGAATTTAAAGGTTTCAGAAGCAATTTTATTCCATGTAGTGGAACACTGAGCCGCAAAGGGTTTTAAACAAATTTTTAAAAATTGCACAAGAAATGTCTGATTCTGTAATGAAGATTGACACAAATGAACTAAGAACAGGACAAATAAGGAGAGGTACTGAACAGCTTTGAACACCTTATCACGAAGTGTTTAATTAATTAGGTCAGACATAGTCTCAAGCAAAACTCACCAGCTAATTGCATTATTATGTACACTGCTTAAAAAAAAAAAAAAAAAAAAAAAAAGAAGACAGTTCTATATCTCTCGTTTTCTACTGGGCCGATTCACGAAATTCAAATTGCGTTCTTCATGTCTCGAAAGCGCGACTTAGGATATATATTAGATTTATATATAGCTCTACTCTAGCATAGTTATTTTGACACGAAATCGGACTTTTTCTGAATTAACATACCAATTTTTTTCCATATTTTGATTCTACGACTCATATTATGCCTAAATATTAAATTTTGTAAAATTTAGTGCGAAATTTACGCAGAAATTCAACAATTTATGTTGGCGCTTTTTATTCAGTTTGCACCAAGATTAGTTCACTTGGCGAACTTCTTTATATGTGGCAACCTATTTTCGTTTCCATTTTTACATAGTGCGTGAGGGGAAAAAAGACCCAATCGTTCCTTCTTTCAAATAATGTTCTTTATATTATATTTGTAATTATAATTGTTATTAATTTTAAGCAATTTTTTTTCTTTTTCGAATTTCATTTTAATTGTGTAAGTTGCATGGTTCCTTTCGAATAACTGTTTTAAAAATTTCTATTTACTCATTCGAACTGCGTAGTTTAAATCAAAGATGCATCATTTATTATTATTTTTTTTTCAAATATTTTTTTATGCTATATTTTTAGTTACTATTTTAGGTAATTTTTAAATTTTACACTTGTATTTTAATTGTTAGTGTTGCATTGTCTCTTCAGATAATTATTTTAAAATTTTCTATTTATTCATTCATTTTAAATATATTTATTAATATAAATTTTCCAGAATTTGATTTTATTTATTTGAATTGCGTTTCTTTCGGAAGAATACTTTGTAACACAGACTACGATGCGTTTGAAAACTGCATATATTAAAAGAGAAATTACAGTAAAGCACAGTTAACACGCCTTTCAATGTTCCGCTCAAAAAAGATATATATATATATAAATAAGAGAGATGTATAACCGACATTTTAACTTAGGACGACTTGCATACACTTTAAACAGTTTTATCATTGTGCCCATTGCTTTACACAATTTTATCCTTCATTTGGTTCCTTAAAATATATTTTAGTCAAATATTTTATTTTTGACATCGCAAGAATCAAATATCATAAGATTAAAAAGTTTTAAACTTAAAAAAAAAAAATTCAAATATTAAATTTTACGCAAAAAATTTATTTTTTCTTCTCTTTTTCTTCAGGCATTCTACTTCATTCTTGCTCTTTTTCTTTAGGCATTCTGCAAGTATATTAAAAAGCATACATCTTGGTATTTCTGACAATCATTTTAAATAGAGTTATCGCCTTCCATTTCATAAAGGCCCACAAACGGCCGAGCGGTAAAGTCGCTGAACACTGCTAGTTCACTCCGGGGTTCCAATCCCGGTAAACGGGCTGGTTGCTTGGGCGTTTTCGTGGATTTTCTCATGTATAACGTGTATGCCAGCTGGTTTCCCTTAGAAAGTTCTTCACGAAGGCATCCTTCCTTTTAGGCAGATAGCCCTGCTTTGCCGTAACATAATAATCCAACTCAATCCATTTCATCAGTATTTGATCAGAGCCTTTATCAGTTTAGATGCTAAGCATTTTGAAGGTATGAGATGAAAGGAAAGATTGGTTTCATCAAGAAGTTTTGGTTTATTTCATTATGACAAAGCACACCAGGGCTATCTGCCTAAGGGTAGGGATGCCTTCGTGGAGGACTTTCTAAGGTAAACTGGCTCGTATACACGTTATACATGGGGAAAACCACGAAAACGCCCATGCAGCCAGCCCGTTCACGGAATTCGAACCTCGGACCGAACTACCAGTGTTCAGTGACTTTACCGCTTGGCTGCTGTTTCATCAGGAGGAGGGAAAAAAAAAAACGTCTTTAGGTGACATCCACATACATCACTGGATAAACTCCTGAATCTTCAAATAATTCGACTGAGAAATCAGGAGATTGTCCGTTTATGATACGATATGATGTTCTATAACGTAATTTAAATTTA